CAAGTTAAAGTTAGCATCCGGAGAAAGTAAACTTTGAGGCCAACCTAAAAAAGAGTCAAGCGTTCTTTACCTTGGCCCTGACTGCGGCCGCCTGTTTTTCCGCAAGCTCTTTGTGGATGGTTGCAGAGGACCGTTTGGGTGTCTTCTCCGTCTGCAACATGCTTAAAGCTTCTTCTGCAAAAAGAAAAAAGTTTATTAATACATCATCAAGCAATTCTGATACAGAAGTACTACAGGCGGATGTGAACTCAGGCGCATACGTTTGGTAAACATGTTTCCTAGCCCGCAGGCGGCTAAGAAACACTCGTCCCTAAACCAGGCGCTCTTAGGGATCTAGTTCTTGGGAACTTTTATTGTCTCCCCGGTTGACAGGGTTGCATCTGTGAGGCCGAAAAAATCCGCCTCAATTATTTTGTCAAAGTCCTCATCTGGGATCCGGGGAAGAGCGCACTTCTGGCCCATCAGGTCGGGCTTCTTATTGTACTGGTGGAACTCGTAGTTTTCCCGCTTGCTGGGAGCCGACATCAGGTAGAACCTGTGCTTCCAACCGTCAAATTTGGAGACCTTGTCTAAGGTCATCATGTATTGGGGATACGTGGTTAAAGTGTACCACGCCCTCCAGCCGTTTGGGCTTCGGCAAAGATAATGCATCTTAGCAAAAGCTTCCCAGACGGGATGGAGTCCCTGGAGCTCACAGGCGCCAACACACCCCAAGATGTTTGCCCAAGAATTGGGGGTAAGTTGCCAGACTCCGAGGCCGTAGCCTCTCAAGATTGCCTTCACCGCCTGGTGAAGGGCAAAGCGAAGACCGGCCTTGAACGCCGCCTCATATTAGCCGAAGTAGCTGTTGGCGTTCTGTTGATCGTCTTTCCAGGCGATGGTGCCATCCTCAGGCGGCACTTTGATTCTGTACTCGTCTCCTAACGGGTGCATATGTGTAAACCTCTTCAAGTTGTCCTCCATTTGTCTCCTATCTTTGGCAGAGACGTGAATTTTGAAGGGGTCGTCCTTCTCACTCCACTTCTTCCTATCCTCCTCCTCGCTATCCTCAAGCGGTGGCAAGTCGTCACTGCTCTCAGAAGTGGAGGCGGAGCTGTCACTCTTTGTCTCCCCCTCAGTTTTTGGCAAAGGAGCTGAGATGGCTTCGTCGCCGTCTTGGTCGCATTCTTCCAAAAAGGAATCTGCGGGAGTCGAAGGGGCACGCGGAGGGGATCTCTCCAGAGCCGTCTGGTTTCTCTGACCAGATGCATCTCCCTCAAGCGTTTGGCCGCCTGAGCCCTCGCTTCGGTAATCCGGATCGACAGCCGTCTGCATAGTCCGAGCCATTGTGTCCTGCACAGACACATAAATGGTCGGAATCCAAGCAAAAGGGTGGTCCCAACACCCCGAGACGGCATTCCCATTCCTAGACTCAGCCGTCCCCGGTGATCGGCTGGATTCTAACCTAGGTTGTGTCGTGTGTGTTGGTGATGCATCCATTTATTGCAAGAAATATGTACAAGTGGTGAAACAAGAAAAAGAGCTGAGAGAGGCAGAGACGGTACCTTTAGATTTGATATCTAAAGATAGACGGGTCCGAATGGGTTGACGAAGAAAGAGTTTTCTCGCTTGCGCTTGACTCAAACGGATGACTTCTGCTCTCTCAAAGTTGTCTCTCTTGAAAATTTTTGTAAACGTACAAAATGATGAGGGTAAACGGCTATATATAGAGGGTAAATGCGGGGGCATTTTCGTAATTTACCCGGAAGGCGAACGATTACTCTTTGGTGGTAAACTTACCACCAACCGGAGCGTGACGCGTGTCACAGATGCCACGTGGCGTGCCACGTCACATCTGTGAGGGGCAAATGTTTAGGGTAATTTTACCCCGCCACGTGGTCCAATCAGAGGATGACACGTGTCAGCCCCAGGATGGCCCAAGGTGGACCTATCCATGCTTGTCACGTGTCACTCCAGAAACCTGGGAGGAATGGCGGCCTTCAGGCCCAAATCCCGAGAAAGCCTAATTGAATCAATTGTTCATGTCAAGTGGTGCAATTCCTAAATCAATTGTTCATGTCATTAGCAATTACAATGCAATCTAGCATAATTCTCAAGGCCTAATTGAATTACACACATGCAAACCTTCACTAATCACTTTAATCTCAACAATCAATCAACACAATTCCCAAATTAATCACAATTAATCAATCATACAAGTTTCACCCAATTCCTAGCCAAACAACTATTCAAGAATCATCATCTATCAACTAACAACTATGGAAATCAAGAATCAACAAAATATCAAGAACAATTACACTAATCAAGCATCAAACATCAAAATTAAACCAAACAAACATGAAATTAAACAAAGCAATAAGGTGAGATAGAGTTAAGAATGCTCATTGATAATAGATAAGATCTTGAACACAATTGTCACCCTTGTATCTTCAATCTCTCAATCACCATTGAAATCCTTCACTTTCTCTCTCTAAAACTACTCCTAATCTAGCCTAATCTAGAGAGAAAAGCTCTCAACCTAAGAGAGAGAACTATTCTAAGACTAAAACTAAGCTAATGAAATATTATCAAAAAGTTGGTTTCAAAAAGGAATTACAAGTCTATTTATAAGCAAAGAAGAAACCGGCAAATCCCGCGCCCTCTCCCGATGAACCCGCGGTCGCGGAGAAATGGGTACGGAACCCTCTGCGGGCTATCTGGGCAACACCCGCGCCCGCGGCAGTATAAACCCGCGCCCGCGGCTAATCCCCTGCTCCCAAAGCTCAATCAGGGGGCCGCGGTCTCTCTGAGACGGAGCACCCTCTCCAAGTTTCCCGCGCCCGCGGAGATCCCGCGGGGCAACCGCGGGTAGTTCTTGCCAAAATCTGGCCATTTGTGCTTCTTGAGCCCGCGCCCGCGGCTTCACTGACCCGCGCTCGCGGCCTGCTGGCAATACCTTGGAGACCTCTCTGAGGCCTCTCCAAGGCCTCTCTAAGGCCTCTCTAAGCCCTCTCTAGCCAAATGCTTCTTCCTTGCTTGGTCATTAAGGTCCCAACTTGATTCCTTTGCAAAGGTGATTCTCCAAGTCCTACACAAGCAAATAAAGAAAGGAAATAAAAGGGAAAAAGAGCCAAATAAAAGGAAAACACGAGAAAAACACGAGAACCATAAAGAAAAGAGGAGAAAGAGAAACTAAAGGAAAAAGGACCAAAAATAAGAGAAGAAAACATGAAAAAGGCAAATAAATAACCCTAAAAGACTACCCTATGAGTGCCATAAATGACACTCATCAGCCGCAATGCGGCGCATTCCACCAATGATTAGGGTTCAGTGACCTAATCAGGGGCACAAATCTCGAGGACCCTATAAATAAGGAGATTCCCCTCTTTTGGAGGGCACGTTTTACCATTTACTACAAACTGTTCCTGTGATAGAGACATCTGAGCTTGGAATACGAGCAGAGACCCACCTAAATTTCCGCACCTTTTTCTCTCCCTTCAAGTTACTAACTTGTTCGTCGGAGGCGGAGCACCACCTAACCGGTGTCTCCATTTGTTTTGCAGGTACAGCTCACGCCGGATCAGTCTTCGTGTTGTAACTCTCCCGAGGGACAAAAACACCCCAAACAAAAGGCTGTTCATCATCAATGGTTTTGGGGAGACATTTTTAGGTGTCTATAGTAATAATGTTTAAATAAATTTACTATTAATCGTAATTTAATTTCAAACTTAAATCAAAATATCAAACAACGGATTACATCATTTTTATCTTTATCACAATTGCTAATTTCCCATCATTTTTCCACATTTTTACCCTCATTATTTCTATCCCTCTCGCTAATCAATACTATAATATGAAAATTAGATAATACACCCGGGTGCACCATGCTTATGGTGCACCTTGGTAAACAAAAAAAGGCGGAAAAAACATATAGTGTTTGATAAACAACATACCTATATACACCCAGGTGCACCATGGTGCACCCTGGTAAACAAAAAAAGGCGGAAAGAATATATAGTGTTTGATAAAGAACATACCTATGTTTGACAAAGAACATACCTTTAATATGTTCTTTGAGTGTGATCAGTGTGTTCTTCGAGTAAAATTATATGTTCTTTACATTATAACTTATGTTATTTAACATATGTTGATAAACATATATGTTTTTTTGGTTTAATAATACAAAGTATGTTATTTGACTTTGGCGTGTATGTTCTTTAAGGTCGTAGTGACGCCCAAATTCTATTTTTATTATCATATGTCATATTTAAATTACTTTTATTATCGTATGTTCTTTGAGTTTGATTAGTGTGTTATTTGGGTATTAACTATATGTACTTTACAATATAAATTATGTTCTTTTAACATACTCGTATGTTATTTTGAAATTTGATATTGAAATCTTAAATTATTTTTAATTGAAAATAATATTAGAGTAAAAAAAAACTAAATTATTATGGGAAGTTGAATTTTTTTTGGAGAGATAGAAAACTATTTTTTGAGGAAATGATATCTTTGGTAAGGATTTTTTAAGAGGTGATCAACATTGGCATGACTCGCATCCCAACCCGATCCGGCCCGAAATAGGGTGGGTTTGGGCAAATCTAAAAATGCATTTTTAGTTAAAACTCGAACCGGACTTGAAAATAGCCCGAAAATCCACTACTTTTCTACGGGTTTGGGCACGAGAAATTATGATATGGCCCGGCCCTACTCGATTTTTTATCACCTCTAAATTTTTACCGTTAATAATGTGTAATTTTTCAGAAAATTTAATTAAGATTTTATCTCGTTCTTTTTATTATATCTTTATGTTCTTTGGTAATGCATGTTTTTGTCAAATACAAATATGTTCTTTGTCAAATACATGTATGTTCTTTATGAAACACATGATGTTCTTTCCGCTTTTTTTTTATTTATCCGGGTGTACAATGAGCACTATACACCCGTATATATAAACCACGGATTATTTTAAAAGATACACTAACAATGACAGAAGTGATCTTCTAATTTCCCATACTAAACCGCTTCTGAAGTTTGAAGCTAACACCCCCTTTACAAAAATGCAAGTGGCAAATTCTCATTTATCCTAGCTAACACCCCCTTTACAAAAAGACACGAATGGGTCCTCACTCTTCACACAATAAAAATATCCCTTTATTCTCCCCACCTTAAACATGGGGTCCGCTCAAGGCTATTTTCGTCAACTTCTTCTAAGTTTAAATAAAACCAATAAAATTAAAATCAATCCCCCCCGAAACGTCCAGTCTTTTTGAGACACCATCGAATCAATCTTCACTCTCTCTCCTAATCTAAACCGTCTATTTTCTCATCCAACGGCTTTCTTTTAGTCAGGTTGTAGTTTATTCGACAGTAGTTTTCTTTCTTCTTCCACTACTAAACCCTAAAAAATGGATATTTCTCTTTCAGCCTCCTCTTCTCCCCTGTTCTTCTTCTTCACCCTTTTTTCTCCCTCACAACAAAATTAATTTTCCAAAAATCCTAAAAATATTTCAAGATTATCCCATTTCTTTTAGTAAAATCTCGACCCCATCTATACAAAATTATCTTTTTTCGAACAATATTCGTTCACTAATAACTGGGTAATTTAAATTAATTTTTTTTTTTTTGATAATTTATCGTGAGTGTTATGATCTAGATGGCCGATTTGGAAATTTTTCGGTGATAATTTGGTGTTAATTGAAGTGAATTTAATTGGGTTGTTAGTTGTTACATGACCCATGTGCTGAAACAATCGTCATAATCGAAGAGTTGGTTGGTTGATCGAATCGTTGATTTGACTCAGTGAGTTAACTCGGAGAGAACGAGGTTTGAAATCTGGCGCCGATGCCGTCAGTAGAGATGCGGCGTTCGACGAGGGTGTTTGTTCCGAAGGCGAAAGACGGTGAATTGGTTAGGGTTTTAAGGTCAGGGCGTCGATTGTGGGTGGACTCTGCTGATGTTAAGCAGCACCGAGGAAGTAAAAATGGGGACGATTGGTTTCCAATGATTTCCAATGATAGTGGCAAGTTTAAGCAACAGAAGATTAATGGTTGGCATGATAGCTCTGATCCAATGGATGTTGATCATGATGCGAAACTGATTCCGATACAAAGACTGCAGCCTGTGACGGAGCCGGAAATTAATCATAGATTGCCTAGTTTAAGAGATGGGAGTTATTGTCTTAAGAACAGAATGTTTAGGAATGTTTATAGTAGGAAAAGAAAGCGTTATAATGTGAGGAGTTTGACGGGTTTTGGTGATTCTGATAGTAAGAAGTTTGGTTTGCATTTTGTGAGAAGGCAAAGGAGAAAAATTGGGCAAACTAAAAAGAAGCAAGCAGATGATGTAATTGAAGGGTATTATGATCAAGGGTTGTTGTCGGTTTTCGTCGATTTGTGTTGTGATGGGTGTTCGTTGTTTTCAAGTGTTTTGAGTTCACTTCTTAGGTATTTGAGTAAAGAAAGAGTTGGTTTAAGTGAGGTTTCAACGTTCCTGGTTTCCAGCCCTGTTTCGCCTGTTTTTGCATCGTCTGGCATTCATTTCTTGTGGGTATGTACTGCATTTTTGTTTTTGTTTTGTTTGAGAATATTTTGAATGCTTAACTTTATGATTGGTGTGAAATATTGTTGCTACTTCATTTTAGCGTTGATTGGATGTGTTTAGTGATGTTTAAATGTTTATTTTTATGCCTGTGTAATTGTTGTTATCTTTCAGAATTGTGTGTCAAACAAGATCAAAGGTGTATGCCGAATTTCTGGGGTGAGGCAGTTTATAGCAATGTTTACACTTGACTATACAGCTGCTCCCTTGTGTTTTCTGCACCTACATGCAACAATGTTATTTAGGTCGGTGCGCCTGTCTTGTTTATGTTGGTACGATTTTGACCGAAAAAATGAGAGTACTGATGAAACCCTTACATTCGTCAATGACCAGAATGAGAGTCCCCCTGACAGATTAGTTGCCCCTGCTAAAGATGAGTCCAAGGATATGAAGTCTATAAATTCATCTCCTGGGGCTAGTAAGTTATCCAGTCGAAATGTGCAAGGTAGGATAGGGGTTCTTACAGGAAGTGCTTCAAAGAGGCGGAGGCGGTCGTTAAGGAGTCGGAGGGCTAGAAACCCGTTACCTTTCGTTTTGCAGAAATCGCCTGGACCATTAGTATCTAATTATGTTTCCAAGAAAAAAGCCCACCCTGCATTACCTTTAGCTTGTAAACAGGAGCTTCGGAGGTCTGTTCGAAAGAGTTCTGTGATTGAAATTCCTGTGCAAAAGCCGGACCTATCAAGCTTGAATGTGGATCCTGATTCACAGTGCTGTACTGCTAATGTCCTGATTGTAGAAGCAGACAAGTGTTACAGAGTTGAGGGGGCAGAGGTCAGATTAGACACCTCTGCATCAAATGAGTGGCTTCTTGCCATTAAAACAGATGGGACAACAAAATATTCTTTAAAGATTCAGAAAGAAATGAGACCCTGTACAACCAACCGTTTTACTCATGCTGTGATTTGGGCATCGGAAAATGGGTGGAAACTAGAGTTTCCTGACCGGAAAGACTGGGCAATGTTCAAGGAACTCTATAAGGTATGTGGGGAAAGGAACATTGTACCAACGTCCCCTGGTGTAAAAATTATCCCTGTACCTTGGGTATGTGAAGTGACCAATTCGTGGGATCTCCCTGGTGCCTTTGTTAGACCGGAGTCATACATTCGAACAGCCAATGATGAACTATCTAGGACTTTGTCTAGGAAGACAGCGAACTATGATATGGATTCTGAGGATAAAGAGTGGCTAAGCAAGCTCAATAGTGAGCTGGAAGCATCAAATCATCTTTCTGAAGAGAGCTTTGAATTAGCAATTGATTCTTTTGAGAAAGCTTCTTATTGTAACCGGGAGGATGTCAATGATGACATAGCAGCTGCTAGATTGTGTTTGGATGTAGTAGCTATTTCGGATGTAGCTGAGCAGGTACATAGATATTGGATGAAGAAGAGGAAGCAAAAACATGCCCCGCTGATTAGAGTTTTCCAGGTACATGCTGTAACACAATATTTCTTTGTACATGTATTTTGACTAGTATGTGCTCAATACAGGTTACTTCCCTTTTTACAATGAGTCAAGCTTTTTAGTTGTTCAGCCTGTGATTAGATTGTGGTGAATTTTAAATATCTAGCCAATTGCTCAGTAATTTGGATGTGTTTCTTTCATTATTTGTCTCGTCTACACTAGCAACAATGACAAAATCTGTAATTTCAAATACTCCTTGTGTGTGTGTGTGTGTGTGTGTGTGCGTGCGCGCGCGTGCGTCCATGCTTTATTACACCGGGCTCAAATTATATTGATCATCCCAAAAGCAATCAGAGTGAACCTGACTGTGTTATTAAACCTATGATTATCACTTAAGTGCAGTTCTTGCTCATAATTTAAACATGGATGCAGCACATAGCAGTTTTTCTGCCTCTGGAGGATAGTCTGCTGTTTGAATATATTTCTGCAAACTAATATTTCATCCATTAACATGCTAATGATTTTGGATATTCCCCTCCGGCCCTCTGTACTCTGTAGTGTCTGTACCCTTGGGAAATTATAAAGAAGAAAAAGGGATTCATGCTTGTCACGTCGTCAGTTTGGCTTAGCTACACTGCATCCACCACCCCACAGCCCACCCCCCTGCCCTTGCGCGAATTAAAATACGTAAGTGAAACATTGATGCGTCAGTTTGGCTACCTCCTCCCTCCCTAATTCATAAAGATAAAAAAAAAGTTTGATGTAAACCTCTCTCGACTGTTAGGCAAATAAACAAATGCGAGCTAGTTTTTCTGCTGCAAATTAGCAACTTTTATCTCATGATGTATCCTCTGTTCTGTGTTTTCTTACATGGAGTTTTGTTATGACAGTTAAACCAACCCACGAGAGCACAATTGATCACAAAACCTGTGTTACGCAAGAAGAGATCCCTGAAACGGCAGACTGTTCAACCTATGCATCGAGGTCGAGGCAAGGATAGTAATGTTCTTCAAGGTATTAAAATCACTTCATTGCTACTGGCACTTGAATTTTCTAGCTTTTGTATGAGAACTCTATTGATTTTTTCAATGTTTAAATTTGATTAGTGATAGCTGCTGAGCATAATGCTGCAGAGGAACAAAGCGCGGTCCTTAGAATACAGGAAGCAATAGCTTCGGCAGACAAATCTGTGGAGCTAGCCATACTTAAACGTCAGAAAGCACAGCTCCTGATGGAAAATGCAGATCTAGCAATGTATAGAGCTACAATGGCTCTAAGAATCGCCGATGCTGCTGCTGAAATTTTAGACACCCAGCAAGCTGCTGATCATTTCCTTGAGTGAAGGTTAACAAGATTATAGGTCTTAGAGATGCTAATTTTAGAGGGCATTTTTTTCCTTTTTTTTAAAAAAAAAAAATAATAATTTCTTTATCTGCATAAAAGAATTGCAGCCTTCGACTGCGGCTGTGTTTTTTGAGGCATTTGGTTGGCCTTTGGAAATGTATTGTATTTTTGTATAGTATCAATTTTTTTGTTGGGGGGCTGTTTTTTCATCTTTTTATGTACATTTTGTATCTTTGTTATGACGCCCTGTAGTCTATATGTACAATGGATTCAGTTGGTGTCTTTGAAAAAAAGAAGGTAATGATCATCGAAAAAGTAAAAAAGTTGGGGGGTAAAGTCTGGTTCGTTTCTTTGTATATTTTTCATCTAGCTTTAGAAAAAAATAATACTAAGCTAATTTTCACCGACCTGTGAGTATGTTTAGTTTACCTTATTTATGTACTTCCTTGCAACAATAGATTTTTTACACTAATTTTTTTTTTTTTTTTTTGGAAAATAAGATTTTATTACTAAAGAGAAAGTTACAACTTACAAAAGCTAAGTTATAACTACCACCAGAACACCAAAAGACCTGAAAACAACAGGCCAACCCCACAACCAGCTCTAGATCCAAACTTCAATTTTAGTTTCAATTGTGCTCTCACTACTGTTTATCGATCTATGGTTCTCTCAATTTCAAGGTTCAATTGCAAACTTCAATTTTAGTTTCAATTGTGCTCTCACTACTGTTTATCGATCTATGGTTCTCTCAATTTCAAGGTTCAATTGCAATTTGGCTCACAACTTTCGGCTTGTACTATTGTTTATCCATTTACGAAATCTTCCCTTAAGCTATTGGGTTTGTTATTTGATCCTCAATTAAGCCTTGCTCGATGTTTCTTTGACATCTTATGGTTCATCTCTGTCAATCAATTAGTGTTTGCTCTACTACTATTGGTTGTTTGCTTGCGGCTGTCGCTGGATCATCAACATCAATTTATTTGCGGCAATTTCCAAGTGCAAATGTTTGAGCAAGGTGGATTCACACCGGATTTTTTCACCTCTGATCGGCAATTTCCACCTACACCACTTTGGTATCTTTGTTCTCGTCTCCGGCTCCAATTCATCTCTCTGTATTTTATTTACTGGGCATTCCCTTTTTTGTTGACTTTCTTCCTACTTTTTTACCCTTTTATTCCTTATAATTTCCTTCTAAATTATTTTCTATTAACCCCATACCTAAACACCAACTTTCATCACTGTTTTCCGGAGTTCTCATCTTTCAATTCCTTTGACTCTTCCTTTCTTGGTTGTGTTTATTTCTTTTTAAGGAGTGACAATTGTTCTTTACTGGACTTTGGTTATGATCCACTCTTCCGAGTTATACGACTTTTGTGGGGTGACTTTGTCACTTTCCTATGACTCTCTGATTATGTTCATCTATTTTTTATGTGTTCTTTCTTTTTATCTTCTATTTTTGGTTGTTCTACCTATGCTTACTACCTCTTATGTACAACAAGGTCCTTCTGCTTTTAGACTCCCCCTTTATACCCTTATTAGTTGTTTTATTCAATGTTTGATCCTCCTCCTTTGGTTCATTCTCTTGCTAGTTTTCTTTAGTACTGCTTTTTTTGTTTTAACTTTAATGTTTCTAATACTATATGATGATGTTATTTTATTTGTTTTTCTGATTTCTCTATCTTTCTTTTTATTTTTGTATATTGTTTAAAGTTTCTCTTTAATACTTTACTTCCTATGAGCATTGCCACTAATGGGCATTTTTTATTTCTCTATCTTTCTTTTTATTTTTCTATATGTGTTTAAAGTTTGACTCTTTAATACTTTACTTCCTATGAGCATTGCCACTAATGGACATTTTTTGGGTTGTCCAATCTCTCTCTAACCACTTTCTCACTCCTCTTCCCCATGGGCCTTTTCTTGGTCATTTTTTGACTTATCAATGTTTGGTGGTCGGCCAACGTCAAATTCGAAAGGCTCGTTGTTATTCACTGTGGCACTTGTACTCGGTCCGGACCTTGCTCTATGAAGCTGAGGGCGATCTTCTTCATAATACCTTCTCAAAACTTCGGCACGAGTGTAATTGTGTCGTTCATCCTCGACAATCATGTTGTGCATAATGATACAAGCTTTCATTATGTCGCTCAAAATGTCTTCGTCGAAAGCAAGTGAGGGTTGTCGTAATATGGCAAACCTAGCCTGTACAACTCCAAACGCACGTTCAACGTCATTCCGAGCTGCAACTTGTTTATCTGCAAATAACTTGTCCTTCTGGAGTTGAGGATATGTGATACCTTGTATAAATGTTGCCCAGTTCGGATATATACCATCTGTTAAGTAGTATCCCATGTTGTACTCATGGCCGTTTACCATAAAACTAATTGGTGGTGCCCGACCTTTCGAATCATCATCAAACACCGGAGAGCGGTATAGGACGTTAAGATCATTACAAGAGCCGGGTATTCCAAAAAATGCATGCCAAATCCATAAATCTTGATCCGCAACAGCTTCAAGGATAAGGGTTGCGTTCTTGCTACGACCTGCGTATTGTGCTTTCCAAGCCATAGGACAGTTCTTCCACTCCCAGTGCATGCAGTCGATGCTATCGATCATGCCCGGGAATCCACACATTTCATTTTGGTGAAGGATTCTCCTTAAATCTTCATCTGTTGGACTTCTTAAGTACTCGGCCTCAAAATGCTTGATCACCCCTTGAGTAAAATGTTGCATTGATTTTCTAGATGTTGTTTGACCCATGCGTATGTATTCATCTACGGCATCCGGAGCAACACCGTACGCTAACATTCTTATTGCAGCGGTGCATTTCTGCAGAGGTGATAAGCCAAGCCTACCAGCTGCATTCCTACGCTGCTGGAAGAATGGATAGCCCTCAACCACTTTATTCATAATCCGACAGAATAAAGGTTTGTGCATTCGAAATCGACGACGGAATTGATTTTCGGAATACACAGAATTTATTGCGAAGTAATCATTGTACAATTGCAAATGCCCTTTCTCCCTTTCTCTATCTCCCCTACGCTGCGGGACAGTTTCATCTTCATTTACAATTTCGATCTCGGATGGAGGTGGTTGAGGAAGCATTATGTTAGGTAAGTGATTTGTGACAAATTCGTCAACTAGATTATCAAATTCCGCATATTGATCTGAATCAGAAGAATTTGAGCTTGAGGTTGAGCTTATGGAAAACATTTTTTGTGTTTGGCTTTTGAATGTTTTGGTGTTGTGGATCAATTTATGGATTTCACACCTTTAAATAGGAAAGCTTTTCAGTGCATGTCCTTTAGCTGAGTGTGAAAAGACTACTCAATGTATAGTAAAAACAAAATACATGACTACTCAATTCTTAATGATCAATACCAATGCTTGTCATACGGTTCAAGTTATGTATGAAATGACTACTCAATGCTTGTATAAAACAAAAACTACAATTGGACTTGACTACTTTTTGGGATTTGACAGTTCAATGGTTGATAAAACCAACCACTTGACTCATAATTGTATAAGACAAATCTACACACACTAGCTAGTACTTGACTCATAATTGAACAAAATATATGAAAATGTAATATAAATTGATTAATTTTTGGATAAAATTAATAATAAAAATTAATTCATTGCAACATAATAAACAAAATACCTTTTATTTCATTGCAACATAACTTGAAATCATAATGCATAATAAACTACTCTACTTTCCACCATACACTTCTTGAATTAGTTCCTCCTTCCACGCTTCTTCAGCTGGTGTAAGTGGCGTCGTTTTTGACATAATGGCTTGCAACATATCAAATTTCATCTTCTTCTCTTGTAATTTGACCTGTTTGTTTTTCCTCTTTTCCTTTTCCCTTTCAAGGTCCAACCTTTGTTGTCGTAAATTTGCCTCAAAGCTTCTAACTTCAGTACAAGCCTGTATCTGTTCACCAATACTTAAAGTTGCAGTATCATGAGCAATAGCTTTTCCCTTACGCTTAGCCTTTGCTTTTTTTACCCCGTCGGGTCTGGGTATACCTCCTGATGAAAACCCACCAACGGGAACATCTCCTTCAGCTTCACTGTCAGTTCTCGATCTCTTTCCACTTCCACTGCTATCCTCGGTGTCCCCTTCCGAACGCACTTGAGAATCCTGTCGTTCCTTTAGTGACAATGCCCATCTAATCTTTGGCCTCCACTTGGGGTCATTCTTTATCATTTCCCAAGCATGGGGAAAAACAAAATTGTGTGGTGGTTTGGATGATATATGGAACAACTTCGAGGCCTTTTGAATTCGATCAACTTCGTTGAATCCACTTCCAGTTAACGGACCCGCTTCATCGTAACAACTTGTCCATAACAGTACATCTGCCGCCATCCTTCTCCAACGGTTCTCCAAACTCTTCGCATTTCTGGGTGGTAGTATTTCTGGCTGCCTAGCTTGAACCATGTCGTACGCCACAGATATTTGTCGCCAAAGTTCATCTGCTTTCATGCCCGTACCCACTATCGCATTTTCACTGTATTTTAAATATAGCCCAATAAGAGCTTCATCTTCTGTGACTGACCAAATACGACTAGCTTTAGCGACTCGTTGGTTGGAACCCGCCGGCATTCTTTGAGTCGACGGAGGGTATTGAGGTGTCTCAGGCACATTTTCTTCTTGGCTATCATCGTACTGAGAGTTTTTTCCTTGGTAGACAGGAGGTGATTGCTCGTAATCAGTGTTTTCAGTTGGAATTTGTGGAGGTATTTGTTGTTGTGGAGGATTTTGCAGAGAGGTGTTGCTCATTCTTTGTAGGAAAAGTTGAAATTGAGGTCGATTCATGAAATTCTCATCTAAATCATTACAATTTTGAGAAAGTAGTGAGTAAAAGGGGTTATTGGGATCCATATCTATTTTTTTTATTAATTTCAAAAACTAACACAATAATAACAATAATAATAATAATAATAACACAAATAATAATAATAATAATAATAATATTAATGACAAAAATAATAATAACAACAATAATAATATTAATAAAAATACTACTAAAATAATAACAATAATAATTATACTTCCAATAATAATAATAATAATAATAATAATAATAATAATAATAATAATAATATTATTATTATTATTATTATTATTATTAATATTAAAAGGATGACTAATTATGAGGGAGAAATTGAGAGAAAATGTAAATACAACAAATTTATGTGAATTTTGGAAATATGAAAATATAGGCAAAATGGGTCTCTATTTGTAGGGAATTTTTTTTCTAGCCGTTGGTAATTTTTTTTTTTAATTTTAAAAGCACAAAATAACGGTTACAAAAATATAACCGTTGCAATAATCAGGAATTTCCTGATTGGTCCAAGCTCCCTGACAGGACACGTGTCAGCGCCTGATTGGGCGTGCTGACGCGCC